ACACTGATAACACCCGATGGTAGCTTTTCCAAAAAATTCCATTAGAAACTCGCAAACCCGACAGGCAGCAACATTTTCTGTTTGGGCAGTTTTATTTTGTAATGCTGGTGAGAACTGACAAAAGCTATTACTCTTCACCATCACATGACATAACTCAGTGAGCCTTCATTTTTATAGGCTTAATCAAGCCCAACTGCTCCAGTCATGACTTTCATTGCTTATGTTCTTGGCACCTGGAGTAGATTCTTAGAACAAGAAGTTCGAGCTGCAGGGCACTCTGGGGCTTTGACTCGCTCAGCTCAGCAGCAGTCCCTCCCTCTTGTAATAACAGTTCTTCCCTTTGCTTTGGGGCAACTGCCTGTCTCTCAGTGCTTGTCGTTTCCGAGGGGCTGAGCCCAGTCAGTCCCCTTGGAAGGACATGTGACTCAGGACTGGCAGCCCCTCTTGCTGGTCACAGCAGTGGGCTCAGGAAAAAGCATGAGAATCAGGCTTGGGATTTTTGCAGGAAGAACAAGCCGACGCTCTATCCACTGAGCCAAACTGGTTTCGGCAATATATATAATATTCTTATCATGTCTTCGTATGCATTTCTGTTAGGTATGCATTTGGGGTGGAATTGTTGAATCAGTGTAGGTCAGCGGTTCTCAACCTGTGGGTCGCGACCCTTTTGGCGGTCGAACGACCCTTTCACAGGGTCGCCTAAGACCATCCTGCATATCAGATATTTACATTACGATTCATAACAGTAGCAACATTACAGTTATGAAGTAGCAACGAAAATAATTTTATGGTTGGGTCACAACATGAGGAACTGTATTTAAAGGGCCAGAAGGTTGAGAACCACTGGTGTAGCTATATGTTCAGCTGTAGTTTATGTGGCCAGGCTATTTTCCAAAGTGGTTCTAAGGGAATTTCTGTGTTTCATCTCTACTTTGGTCACTTTCCTCCCACACCAGGCAATTCTCCAACTGGCAGATACCAGCCTTGGCTATTCTAAATAAACTTGGAAATAGCCCCCTGGAAGTTAATTCAAAATTTCACCGTACATTTGCGAATAGAAGCAGTTTTGTGTTGGTTTTGCCCTGTAGTTGTTAACTGATTAACCCTCTTATCTCTTCCTTCCACCCTCTGGCCTGCTTATTTTAATACTAGAGGCCCGGTGCAGGACATTCATGCACTGGAGGGGGGAAGGGAGTGTCCCTCAGCCCGGCCTGTGCCCTCTTGCAGTCCTTAGCGCTGCTGTGCTCACCAGCCATGAGCTTGGCTTCTGGCTGAGTGGCGCTTCCCCTGTGGGAGCACACTGACCACCAGGGGGCAGCTCCTGCATTGAGCATCTGCCCCCTGGTGGTCAGTGCGCATCATAGCGACCAGTTGTTCCACTGTTTGGTTGATTTGCATATTAGCCTTTTATTATATAGGATAAGACATCTTGGAAATTTTTTCTTGAGATAGACACATTGATTGGTTTCCTCTTGCTGGTGCCCCCACTGGGGCTGGGGATTGAACCTTGACTGGGAATCAAACCCTCAACCCTTTGTTCCATGGGCCAAAGCTCTAACCACTGAGCAAATAGCCAAGACCCTTTTTTTTTTTTTAAAACTGTGAATTGAATCTGCAAACTTTTGGTATGTAGGATGATGCTCCAAGCAACTGAGCTACCTAGCCAGAGCAAGAGTAAATCTTTTTCTTTTTTAATGTTTTTATTTATTTTTAGAGAGAGAAGAAGGGAGAGAGAGATAGAAACATGGATGCGAGGAAAACATCAATTTGGCTGCCTTCTACACACCCCCTACTGGGGATTGAGCCCGAAACCCAGGCATGTGCCCTGACAGGGAATTAAACCTTTGACTTTTTGGTGCATAGGCCAACGCTCAACCACTGAGCGACACCTGCCAGATAAAAGGGAATCTTTTAATTAGCCTATGAGAGAGACCTTTTCTTTTTCGCATGCATGATTATGATAAAATGTTGGCTCATAACTAAATTGTCCAAAAAAGGTTTCTTTAACACACCAAGAGCTAGTAGAGGAGGGTTATGGGAATAGAAAGGAAAAATACTGTAAATGGGTCATTATGGATAATTGTAAAAGTTGCCATTCTATGCTTTCTGAACCCCATGTATTCTAGTTATGGACCCAACAACACTGATTGAGACCATAGACTACATCTATGAGGACAGCACCCTATCCTTTCAAGATGTGGTTTCCAGAGGGCAACATCTCTAAAGTTTCAACAGGCAATCCTACAATTCTGGAGGGCCACCTGCTTTTAGGTAATGAGGAAAATGAAAAGACCAGCAAATCCCATTAGGCCAGATTTCTTCATGCTTTGATAATACCAAGTCCTTCTGACATTCTAGACCAGTGGTTCTCAACCTTCCTAATGCCACGACCCTTTAATACAGTTCCTCGTGTTGTGGTGACCCCCAATTTCATTGTTACAAATTGAACATAATTAAAGCATAGTGATTAATCACAAAACCAACATGTAATTATATATGTGTTTTCTGATGGTCTTAGGCAACCCTTGTGAAAGGGTCGTTTGACCCCCAAAGGGGTCGCGACCCACAGGTTGAGAATTGCTGTTCTAGACGTTACTTTACTTACCATTTAATTGTTGATTAGGATTTAGATTTGGTAGAGTTATGGGAGATTTTCAAGTTTCAAATGATTTTTGTCTGGCAGAAAACACAACCTTGAAGGACATTAACCAGTTTTGTATCAAACTTTCCAACCTAATTCCTGCATTCTTTTCCCCTCAGTCTATACATACTCATTCCTCAAGGTCCTCCCGTGAACAAGCTTTATTTTTCTGCTGGTTCTCTCACTAATGGAAATAACATCATTGATGCATGCTAACCATGTTGTTGTGTGAAGGGCACGTTTTTTAACTTTTGAAAAGTTATACCATGAAAATAGTTAAGTCCAGGGATGTAATTACTGGCAGAAATAGGGCAGGGGGGTGGGAATAACACCAATTCCCAACAAAGTATTATTCTAATGAAGGTGAATTGGTGACCTTTCCATGAAAAGGATCCATTGTAATCAATCTACCACCAGTGGTTGGGAAGTGGGACACTGGATGTGTGGACCTTATTCACAGTGCCTGCCTGAGTTCAGTCTCAAATACCATTTCCACATGGCGATGAACTGAAGCTGGGTCTGCCCACTTCATCACTTGGTGTGTCCCATAGTACATCATCACCTGGGATTGTGGCCAGTCATCCAGTCTTCATAGAATCCACGAATAATCCAAGAGCTAATTCTCAGAACAAGAGGTCTTGGCTTTCTATAAATCCCCAGGGTGTATGCTTCCTATTGTTTACCAGAGGTCCACAGACTACCCGTAAGTCCGTAAGAGGCAATGGAATGACAGCGCTGATTTAAAAAAAAAAAATTGTGATGCTTATGCCTAATCCTACAACCTTGAGCCAGGTTCAGTCTGTATCCATTAAATGGGAATAATATTATCTATCCTGAGTATAGTTATGAGGGTTAAAGAATTTTACGTTATACTGTTCCGAATCCGTTTAGTACTTCCAAGTCCAGCATTTGAGAGCTTTCTATCTACTAATTAGGTTGTAAAACTCCACCAAAGCCCGCCCCTCTTGCACCGCCCAGGGATGACGTCATTGACCGAGGTCCCTAATGACATCATCTCCCGGCTTGCCTGGCTCCATCTTCCCATTCTCCGGAAACCTACAACTCCAGCACCCGGCCTCCGGCTTTAGGTTATTTTTTTCCTCTCCGTAGCCCGATTTCCTCCCCTCCCATCCTCCCACCTAAAACTTTCTACTCTTCCCGCTTTCCCTCAAGCTAGCAATTTTCGGTTCTTCCTGCTGCTTCTCGGGCGAATTACTCAGAAATCGTTTACTCTCTTAATTAATCGCCTCCCCTAGCCAGCCCTTCAGCTCCTTCCTTCTAAATCTCATTACCCGCGCACCGCCTCTTTCGGCTGTTTCCGTCTCCTGCCACCCACCCCGACGCCGCCTTCGGCTCTTTCCGGATCGCCTCAGTTCCTTGTTTCCCAGTCCCGATCCGCTTCGGCTATTTCCGGCTCTCAGGGACCTCCCATTTTTACCTCTAGCCCCACCCCAATAATCATCTTCGACGCTTTCCGCCTCTCCCTGTCTCCCGCTCAGCGCCTTTCGGCTCTTTCCGCCTTCCCTCGGCCTCTCGGCTCTTTCCGCCGCCCTTTCGGGAAAGTGGCCTGTACCGCCCCCCTCTCCGCCACGTGACGCGGCCTCCGCCTCTCAGTTCCCCCTCCCACCTCGCCCTTCCTCCCGCCTCAGCCTCCTAGTCTGTCCAGGCCACGCCGCCATTTTGTGTGAATTTCTGACTGCGGCGGGGGCCGGACAGCCGGGGCACCGAGGGCGGGCAGACAGACAGACAGACAGTCGGCCCGTCTCCGCGGCCCGTTTCTCTTTTCCCTAAAACCCTTCTCTTCTTAACCCCCCCTCGCTCGCTCTCCTCTTCCCCCCTTCCCCCTCGCTTGCTCAATCGCGCGCGGCCCGCGCTAATTACACCCAACCACCCACCAGTCTCCTTGTACTCCGGGGTCCCACTCCCGGGCCCGCGGGGGTGTGTGTGTGTGTGTGTTGGGGGGCGCGGGGTAAGAGATCAACCAAAGGACTTGTATGTATGCACATAAGCATAACCAAAGGACACAGACAGTAGGGGGGGCAGGGACATGTGCTGGGGCGGGGGAATGAATGGGGAGAGGTCAATGGAAGAAAAAGGAGACATATGCAATACTTTCAACAACAAAGAACATTATATATATATATAT